AATGATCTATTTGCCATAGTGCGTTATTATATTAACATTATTATTATTATTATTTATATAATAAATAAATTATATAACTGTTGTAATTTTATTCATTAAATAATATTACTATGAGAACTTTTTGTTACAAATAGATTAAAATAGCAAAAATAAGATATAGTATTGTCCAAAAATAGGAAAATAATGAATCTAACACAAGAAAATTAAGTCGATATATTTTTTTTTTTAATTGCATTACTGAAATCAAATTAGGTCAAATCATGTTTTAATTACAATTTTAAAAATGTCAAACATAATGATGCATAAATTACGTAATTTGTCAACTATTTAAAAATACATGTTTGAAAATAACGTAATATTTCTATCTAGTGTATGGGATAATAAACAATATTGAAGATAACGACGAATAACTCTGAGCTATTTATGCAAATGTTTGTGATTTTTTGAAATTCAGTATAAAGAACTATTACTATTTTTATTTAAAATAAATTAATTTTCGGCTCTTACATATTACTGCATTCTTTTAAAAGTAGTATGAATATAAGATAATTAGAAATCAATAAAAAAAATAATAACACTATAAAATTAATTAAATTAATTTTAATTCCAATCAAAAGTCATCGTAAAATGTTATTTAATTGTTAATTATTAAATTATGCAGATCTATTCTGATTTTAAATGATTATTTTATCTATTTAAATGAACTAGATATTCAGATGAATTAAACATACAAATTAATTCTGATAACAATAATGTTGAATTACAATAATTTTTAGTTTTATTAATTATAGTTTTAATCAATAGTATATTGTATATAATGAATATGAATTTTTTAAACATTTTGTGTTTTTTTAGAAATATTGAACTTATTTTATATTTTAAAGGAGACGTACAAAATGAAAATTGTTGGCCCTTTTAAAAATAACCGGAAAAAAAATAATAAAAATAAAAATAGTATTATATACATGTTTTTTTATTCACAGAATTGAAGTTTTCACGAAATAAAAACATATTGAATTTTTTTTTATACATAATCATATTTTTTTTAAGCTATTAATAAAAATTTTATCTTTTCTTTTACTTAAAATAACAATCATTTTATTTGCAAATACAACTATGTGTTATTGTTTTTTTTTTGTTTGTTCAATTTGTTTTCCTATTTAATAATATAACATGTACCTGTATAATAATTAATTGTCATTAATTAAAATTTAAAGTTGTAAGAATGGTTAGTTTGGGGGATGAGCATTGAGGGACAAAAAATCTAAATACGTCTGTGGTATTATGTGACAGCCGTTATTATTTTATCATGGGAATTGAACTGGACGTAATTAATATGTATAAATCGACAAGTTTCGTAACTTGTACAACAGTTTGAATCAACTAGCTATATATTTAGTGTGAAATATATTACATTATATATATACACCGTACATATCAGTCAATTTGTATCAAAACTTTTACTCATTAATTTGGATGATTAATGAAGAAAATTAATCAATTATGTATATAATTATATTTGTTATAACTATATAATATATAATATACATAATATTATATATAATAGACTGTATTACTGATATTGTTCTAATGTCATATTTTAGATGGAAATAATGTTGTTTTTCATTTGATATTTAAGTTCCGTGTTTTTCCTATACCTACATACGTCTTGTATATTGAAATAGTTTTCAGTATTTTAACTTCAAGAACTTTTCTCAAGCAAAACACAATTCAAAAACTTTAAATAACAAACCATAGTAATTTATATTTTTTAATACATTTCGGTGTATATAATACATAGCATTATGATGTTCGTTCTCTAGGTTTATATTAGGCTAACCCAAAACGCTGGAAGCACAAAAGTTTTTGCAAAAATATTTAAATATCTCTATATTTCAATATGTATTTTAGGAAACACCGAATTTCGTTTAGTTAGGTACCTACATCCGTATGGTGGGTATAGTTGATAATAGTTGAAGGGGAGGAAGAGGAAAACAACAAAACAACCTTATATTATTATAATACACCGAATTCGAGTACAAACACCGTCATCATTGTTAGCGATAATAACTCATCATTTACGAACGTGCACTCTTTGATTGATGAACAAGCAACATTGTTTGAATTTCAACTAATTCAATTAACCAATTGTAGCGTTGGCTAATTGAATAAAAATGCAAATGCATTAGACGTACAGAGAGATATAGTGATGTGATGTATTTTTATTTAAAATTTTAATTGTCCCGCAATAATATCTTCTTATCTAGAAACAAAACTGATTCAATGTATTTGCTCATAAATTCAAACAACTTATGCATATATTGTATGTATGATGTATAAATATATAGCCAAAACCTGAACTCTTCTTCTTTCATTTTTTTTACGTTTCCTCTCCGACAAAATTATTCAACTGTAATATCTCAGCTCGTCCACATCTCGCTTAAAGGAGCTTAAGAGGTAATGAAGTGTATGCTTTTCACAATAAAAGTACCTTTTATTCAAATGCAGGTCACTAAAGTAGTCTACATATAATCCAGTGTACCATCAAAAGCATTTGTTTCCAATAAAATACCTAACCTCACCCGCCATTCAACAGAAGTTGGTTTTTTTAATTTTTATAATCTATTGATTAAATATAACTACAAAATTCAATTTTTGATGATAAAATACTCTTTGATATTTATTTAATTAAGTTACTAATAAAATAGAATAAATATAATTGTGTATAAAAGTATATTATATAATAGAAAATATACAATATAGAATATACATTGTATTTAATAAAACATTCATATTATTTAATTTTAATTTATTATTTGGCCAGGCTTGCAATTTCTTTTTTTTTTTTTTTTTTGCTTACGAGTAGTCCAAAACTTAGTGTAACTTAAATCTAACTTTTATTAAACAAATTAAAAATTAGAACAAGACATTATAGTCTACAATATATTAAATTTAAACTTAATTATAAATAATTGATATATATCTATATCTATATATATATATATATATATATATATATATAAATTAAAAAATACGAATAATAAAAATATCTCAAATGATATTATTAGTATTTTACATTTAACTACCTAGGTTTTAAAACTAAAATTATGTTGTTTTTAAAATCGTGTTATAATTTTTCACCCGATTTAAAGGTGGTAATAATTTTTAAAAATCATTAAAACTTATAAATTTACAATCAAAAAACTTAATTGTTAAGTATAAAACATATATAATAATACCATAATTAAACGAAATACACATATTCTGAATATGAAAAAAATATAAAAGACCATATAATTTATTTATATGCATATTTCATTGATTTATTTACTAATATACTAATATTTATACGACCATAACAAAACATCAACATTTTGTTATAAATACCTATATTATGCATTAATTACCTACACCACATAAATAAGGTATGCGATGAATTCAATAATACAGAGAAAAAATACAAAATACTACACGTAAAATATCTTAAATACTAAAAATATTGTAATGTTTCCCTACTGAAAGCTACTAAAATATAATAATATATAAATTGTATTATTTAAAAAAGCATTAGGTTACTGAATAACTTAATAATCATAAATTAATTATGAATTTTTTTTTTTTTGTTTCTCTGCCAAAATGATAAATATATTATAATATATTATACTGTATTATTAAATTTCAATTTTTATTTATTTTTGATTTATTTATTTAGAGAATTCTTTAACTTAGATACATAATATATAACTTATTATGATGTTGTCATAACAATAATAATTTAACTACAATAAAAAATGTTTATGCTTGTAATTTTTATAATCCAATGCTCGGATAAATTATAGTTTACTAATAACAACGTGACTGATAATTAATATAAACATTTTTTTAGTACTTCATACTATACCAAAAATAATTAAAAAATAATGTTTGTTGGTAATATAAACTATACTAAACTTTCAATTCAAAGAAGACAATATAAAATATACAAGTTATTTTATTTGTTTATTCATACACAACAACAAGTTTTTTCAATATTAATCACAAAAGTATAAAAAAAAAAAACACTTACTATAAGAACTAATATTATAGATTTAAAAAAACTTCGTTTATAAGAATAAGTTATAAAAATCGAGAAAATAGAACATCAGTAAATTTCACTAGAAATATAAAATATGACATTTTTGAATAAATATCAACGACTTAGTTTCCTTATGATTTTTAGATACATAATAATCCTTTAAATTGTGGTAATACTTATAGTTTTAAATTATTACTATTATTTTTAAAATTTTAATTTAATATTAAAATAAATGTATATATGTGTTATATTATCGTAGTTTACTGTTTTAACGTAATATATCTAAATCAATATACTATTATAATAATTATCTATATAGATTTAATAATCTTCTATAATGCACTGTTATAAGCTTATTAAATTTATAAATATTTATGTATATATATATACGCAAATATACTAATTAGAAGAACTAGTTAGAGAAATGTTTTTCTTCCAAAACACTTTTAAAATAACCATTGGTAAACCTACCTATAAATTAAAAATGTAATTATTCAATTTATGAACTGAAAAATATGTTCACCTTCTAAAAACGACTTATTTAAATTTAAGAATACATTTAATAACTGATATAAAATTATAAAAAAAAAAAAAACAAAAAGCTTCTGTTGAAACAAATGCATGATTTTTCTATAACTTGTAGAAATTTAAAATTTTTCTTAAACAATTTCGTATCATTTTCAATTTTTAAGAATAATTGTATAAACACTACTCCTAACAAATTTGTAATCATTATTATTTTGATAAGCTATAATATAATACCTATACATTATGATTTAAATACGACTGTATTAGTATATTTAGTATATTTTTATTTTCTAAAAACATTTACTTATAGAGACTTCACTATCATGAACCGTATAGTCTATATTTGACAACACTGCTATACGAATGTTGTATGTTTTATATTAACATAAATAATTACCTGTCTATACTGATTGCCACCAAATTGAATATGGACGATGTACTACAAATCACGTCCATTGCTATGTAGAAATCGCAAACAAACGGGGGCAAGCCCCATTTCCCATTCACCTAAAAAAAAAAAGGAAAATAAAATAAATTATAGTAATTTAATGTACAGAACAATAGAGACAAATAACACCAAACATATTTCCACAAACCAAAATTATTCGTATAGCTTTGTTATAAAATGATTTAAAATAAAAAAATAAATATATTTCTTTTTTTCTTTTTAAATGCAACACATTTTAAATCTTAGTGATGTGATTAACTTTTAAATAAAAAGCAGTAGAGTTGTATAATACATTGATTATTGTCCAAAACACTAACGTACACTAAACCCATATATTAATTATTAACTAATGCATATAATGTTTACAATTTTCACAGAATAATTGTGTTATAAATGATAAGTTTTGTAATTTTGTATTTTATCAATAAAATAGAATTTTTTTTTAATATGGTTATGTTTTGTTTTGTTTTTTTTTTTAAATATACAATTAACTGAGCACTATACATTAAAAAACAGAATATAAACAAAAAATCTTTATGCGTAGGATGATAATTGATGGACATAATAATATATACTGTTTTAATACCTACTATAGATATCATATTAAATATAATGTATATTTTTATTTATTACTTGTACATTAAAACATAGTTAATAACAACTTATTAATAATTTAAAGTAATATATTCAAAATAAATAAATTATTATTAAAATATATATATTAGCCATAAAACATTATTAATGATATTGTTAATTCAGTGTATTGTATTTTACTATTTTCTGAACTGAGGAAATACTTAGATACATACCAATTAAAATGAGTTGTCTTTTTTCAGAGTGTAAAATCTAATTTAATGTACTTAACGTAATTTGTATTACTGATTAATTAAATATTACAATTTCGCACTTGCACAACTTTTAGATTAGGTTAGTTAAACAAAACGTAAAGTGTATTCTTATAAATATAATGAACAATAATTTTCATAATAATTGAAATTAGTTTAAAAATTATTCATTATATACAGATTTAATACTCTGTTAAACCTATGATAATCCTCATTTCCCACCACTAAAGTTTCACAGAAACAATATCGAACGTTTTTGTCATAAACCCGACATTGTCTTTGTTGTTTCTATTCTAATTAAACATTGAATTATATTAGTATTCTTTACATAAATAAATTGTGACAAACCGAAATCAACGCAAATCCATTTTATAATATTATTATGATGGTAAACTGAGTATAAACTAGAATTATCAAAAATATCACTAAAAATATTATAGGTATTTTCAAAAACTCAGATTTCAGTACAAGATAATTTTAATTAAACCGAGTAATCATGAAATAACTAAATGATTTAGGTTATAAATGACTAGTTTATCATATAATATAATTATTATTATAAATATCACTTCAAGATAGCTCCGAACAATAGTAGTGATACTAATTTAAAACGAAAATTTATAGCGGAGTACGACATAAATGGTCCTTTTCAGGACTGACCACTAACAACCAATAAGCGCACTCAGCAAATGTAAGACCCAGTTAATAATGACAGGTTTTATACAACAAAGTTTCAATAGTATGACGAATAAGAACCTCACTAAGCAAATGACAACCATCAGACAACAGTGTAATGATGACTTATTATACCATCAACTTGCAACTAATCAGCAACTACTATAATGACCCAAATGGGTATACGAGATGAGTATACCAGTACATTTCTGAAACTCACTCTGCATTATCATCTCTAACTGTCAACAAGTTAAACACCGACGATCGGAAACCAGAGGACCTACGTCGATTTTTCAGTACAAACCGGACAGGGACAGCGTTCCAACTCACATCGTTGAGCAGACCAGCGTCGATTGCCCGATACGACGAGACGAACGCGACCGTGACCACCAAATAATAGTTATTAACTAGGTCCAACCGGAATCAACCGATCATAATAGCCGTGAAACGACGATCGGAATCAGCCGGACCGGATGTCATACAGCACGACACACGATTGCCGCCGCCGACACCGCTCTCCCCCCGGTCACTTGCATAAGTACCGCCGAGTAGTAGTCGCTTGCATAAGTTACGCGCTACTTCCTTGTTATATGAGCTGCATACGATTTGCGTCCCTGATATAAAGATTACGATTTTTGATATAGGTACCTACTTATTGCATCCTATAATATTTAAAAACTACTAGGTTAAATTATATGGACAACAAATAGCTGTGAAGCTTTCCATTCAAAATTTAACGGTATGTTTTATTCTGCCCATTCAAATATCAACAATTTTATTGATATATTTATAAACGTATGAAAATATACTTGCATAAAAATTCACAATAGTTGTCTAATAAAGAAAATAAGATATGAAATATGTTAAAATCGACAATTGTTAAGAAAAGAAATGATTAAATACGACTTGAATTAAATAACACGTTTTTTCCGTTTTTATTTTGTCAAAACTGTATTGTTCAAATTTTTTTCCGAGTCATAAATAATATTTTATAACATATATATATATATATATACATAACTTTCACATTATAATTTATATTTTTTACTATTTTTTTTTTATTCTTTTATTTTTATATTTAACGAAGAAAACAATATTTTTGATGTAAATAATTACGAAACGATAAAAAACAATATTTTTAACTTACCTTAAGCAATATAATATTTATAATATTTATTTAATGTTGTTATTGAGTCTTAAGTCTGTATTAAATAAGAAAGAAAATAATGTATTTACATCAGACGCAATTATTATAGTTATTAAATATTAACACGACGTAATTAGTGTAGTTGTTTAATATTATCGAGACGCAATTCGTACAAAAAAGGGATTTTGGGACACAATGCGTTTGCATCGGTTATATGTGGTAGGACCGAACTAATAATATCGTCTATCGAATACGAGCTCTCATCGCGTCAGCCCACTTAAGTAAACTTGGCTGATGCGCCCGTGAACCTGACTAACCCCATATATTTTATAATTAACATATTTGTATAAATAAAGGACAAGACGTGAACTTATTACTAATGGGTATTCATTTTCTTCACGAAACGGCGGGTAGCATAACCTACCACACTGCTTAAAATTTTCATATTGAATACATTGTATTCTAAAATTACTTTATCTAATATTGTTTGAGAATTTACGGAAAGTTTAATCGGTTATCAATGAAACTCTGTACGATGATAAACAAAAGCATCAAATAAAAATATATTCTATGATATTATAATATATTGTAATACTATGTCGATATAGTTAATATAAAAGGAAATGTTGTTTCAAACAAAATATGAAATAAAATTAGATTTAAACAACAAAACGCGACCACCGCCCCGAGCTGTACAAATAATGCTTTTGTAATGTGCGTAAGATGGATTTTGAAACGCATGTATCGTACAGAATAATTCAGTTTTGCACTTTCAAAGAAACTGGAATTATGTTAGATTTCTCTGTAATATCCACTCCGTAACTAAACACTTTTTTTTTCTGCCATTGAAACTTGCATGGCACGCGAATACGGACAGTGTTCTCAAACGTTCACGGTTTTAATATGGAGCTTCTGTTCACCTTTGTCGAGCTCCGGGGAGTGATATAATATTATATTTATGTATAGTTTAACGTTTGCGTAGTGCGCATTAAAGTAAAGCGATTGCTGCTGCTTCTGAAACGAAGAAAACGATCGGATCAATAAAAAAAATAAAAATAATAATTTATAAACAGAAAATTGATGACCGATAACATATTTTAATACGATCGAAATATATTATGTACTATAGGTACCATAATATGGGTTCTCCGACGATTTCAGAACCTCGAGGGTCCGATCCCGCGCTGTGACTTCCACACACAACAATAATATCGCTATAGTATGCAAAACGTACAGAATACGTATTCCTTTACGATACTGTATTATTTATTATAATATCTATGGTATGCAATTTATATCCAAATGTCTTATTCACTTTTCTGAATTTGACTTTTAACGTTTATTCGCTACATGTTTGTATATGTGTGTGTATCTATTTGTTTCTCTTATAACATGTATTACCGGTTGTTATACACTTTTACATAAGTACGATTTAAATGTGTTGTGTTTATTTTTCTTCAAATATAAATTCACAAATAAAAAAAAAAAAAAGAATTTTTTGGTTAATTAATTTTTTTTAAGAAAAAATACTCGAGTGTTGTCCTATCCCTGTTGAAATTAAATTTCAAAAATTGGATTCAATATTGATATTTACAAAAACTGATAATCTTATATTTTTTATTATAAGCTTACAGTATTAAGAAGTGCTTTCACGCACTTTAAAATAACTCATATAAAATAGAATAAGAATAGACCATATACAAAAAAAAAAAAACTCTATAAAGTTATAAAGAAAAAAAATACGTAGAAATATAAATATTACCTTCAAATAATTAAAGAAAGAAAATAAATCAAAGATTATCATTGGAAAGCTACTTTCGAGAAATTCAAAATAGTGAAAACTATAATATTCCTGTTTCAACAAATAATTTTGTCAGTAATGACTACAGAAAGAAATAAAAAAAAATCTCAAATGTTTTTTCAAGACTCCTAGCGATTCAGAAAGTCATTTAGGGGTGGTAAGTATGATACAATTTCAACTAAAATTCGGACGAATTGCTATATTAAATTTAAAATTAATCAGTTAGATAGTCAAAGAAAATGCTTGTTTCCACAAAAAAGCATGTATACCTACCCAATTTTATTTTAATTGTTTTAATCTGGTATTTAATTTCTAACTGCATCTTTTATTTTATTTTTATTTTCATCTATTTGGTACATTTGTAATTTATTTATATACTTAAATAATCTTTTAAAAAATAATTATTACGTAAATATTTTTTTTTGAATCTACTTAATATAAGGACGTTTTTTTCAATATTTACACAATAATTGTATTGATAGCATGAAATTCGTAGCTATATTCTATTTTAATACGCATATGTAGCATCATTAGAGAACAAAAAATAACAACTAGAAGGAAACTTATCTATTAACAATTTTAAATAGTTCA